CATTTGAAATTCCCAACTGGGAAAGAAATATGAGCAAAAATGGGGCTTTTTCAGGAGTCCTCGACCTTTAATAGCGCAAATCCCCAAAATGGATCAACATTTCTGACTAGCCCCAAGAGCGTTTTGGATAGCTTGTCTCCAGCTCTATCTGAGACCAACTAGGTTTAATTCGAATTTTCCAACTGGAAAAGAAATATGAGCAAAAAAGTGGTATTTTCAAAAGGCTTCGATCATTAACAGCGCAACTCCCCAAAATGGATCAACATTTCTGATCAGTCGCAATATCCTTTTTGGTAGCTTGTCTCCAGATCTATCTGACACCAACTAGGTTTAATTCGAAATTTCCAACTGGGAAAGAAATATGAGCAACAATGAGTCACTTTCAGGAGTCCTCGATCGTAAATGGTGAATATCTCATTACTCGTCAGAACATTTTCAAAAGCCCTTTTCTGGTACTCACCTAATAAGCTTTAATCAGAAATTCCCAACTTCAACAGAAATATAGGCAGAACAAGTTCATCATCTTTGGCCCTAAACAACAACGAAACTCAAGATCATGCCTCGCAAAAGTTGATTGGAAACGAAAAGGTCGAAAAGACGCGACCGGCCCAGTGACCCGTTTAAGTCGGTACCCGAGGACCGAAAGCGAATTAAAGCCAGTTTGAAACATTTCATACAGCGACCGAAACTTTGCTAATTGATCTGCAAACAATGAAATTAGTTGTATCCAAACTATAAACCCGCACAGTAACGTTATTTGCCAATATCGATCAGCTCTCGTTTATCATCAAATACAGTGCGGGATGTTCGCCGAAAATGAAATTTAATTAAACTGCGATATTTATTGAAAACGGTTTGATGGTTTTGGACAGTTTTTTATCGATTGTGTCAGAAACACAAGTCAATCAGTATCGGGAGAGCGAGAGCGAACTGGGCAAAAAGTCGGCCATGCAAAGCGCAGTTCGTGATAAAAATTATTAATGGGCTCAAAACGATGCCGGAATGATAAAGCACGCTCAACTGATGTGATTGATGTGTGCTTGGCCCGGTCCGTTCTTTCTCTCCATGCCACTGATTTCGCCCTTTGTTACAATTTCCAGGCCATCCACAGACGCTCTAATTGCCAACGAATTTCGCACCTCCAGTTGGGGAATGTAAATACCTCTAAACTTTCCTGACTGGTGACTCATTGAAACAACTAGAGACCAACAAAATCTGTGTTAAATTCTTCCATGGAAAAATCAGAAAAAAACCACCATTTCTCGAAATCGTGACCGGACTCCCGCCGGTCGCGGAGGGCGCGTTTTTAACTTTGCCTATCTGGACAATCTTAAACAATTCCCCAATCGAATCGAGGATATGAAAAGTCTGGCAAGAGCCGTGAAATATGGCACGGGCGGAAAAACCGAATTAAACTGTCGTTTATATACAACAAGCAGGACTAGCGGCCACTTGGCGCAATCAATTTCAGTCGTGTCGGATTTTGACATTCGTGTACTCTTGTTCCGATTTAATCTCTTATCTGGATCAAAAACGTCTATTGTGAAAGGGCGCGATAAGCTCGTTAAATCGAACTTGAGCAGGGGAGCGCGTAATACTTTCCGGCAAAAGGGTGCCAGAGCGACAATTTCCATGTGAAAACGCCTTCAAACCGATCGCGAGTTTACAACTTTCACTAATAAAACACTCAGTAGATAGATGGAAACAACATTTTTATTAGGCAGGTGAAGAAATTGGAAGATTTTTGGAAGATCTGTTGTAATGAACTTTTTTTAGCCCTCCTCAAGATCTATATTTTGCAAGCGAAATTCCGTGCCTCTAAAGACGTAGAGCAAAAATGGCCAATTTTCCGGACTCTTCGAAGTCAAAACAGTCCATAACTCCCGAACGGTTCAAAAAATCGTGTCATCCACCAGACCCTTTCCGAGAGCCCACTCCAACACCAATCTTTCCGCAATGAGGTTGCACGAGAAATTTCCAACCTCTAAGGAGGTATGAGCAAAAATGTCCAATTTTCCAGAGTCTTCGAAGTCAAAACAGCCCATAACTCCGAAATGGTTCAAAAAATCGCGTCATTCACCAATACCTTCTCGAAAGCCCATTTTAACACCAATCTTCCCGCGCTGAGATTGCAAAAGAAATTTACAACCTCTAAGGAGATATGAGCAAAAATGTCCAACTTTCCAGAGTCTTCGAAGTCAAAACAGCCCATAACTCCGAAATGGTTAAAATAATCACGTCAATCACCCGAACCTTTTCGAGAGCCCATTTCAACACCAATCTTTCCGCAATGAGGTTGCACGAGAAATCTTCAACCTCTAAGGAGATATGAGCAAAAAGCCTAATTTTCCAGCATCTTCGAAGCTAAAACAGCCCATAAATGTAAGACGCTTCAAAGAATCCCGTCAATCATCAGAACCTTTTCGATAGCTGGTTTCAAAATGAGTTTCATGAATAAAGTTTAATTAAAGAGGTAGAACCAAAAAAAAAACGTTCAAATTTAAAGCAGTCACATCTGGAAAGCCATTTGACATCAATGACAATTTTGGTCTTTTGACTGAAACCACCCAGTACATAGTTGAAACCAACATGTAATCTAATTAAGCAAGTGAAAAAAAGCATACAAAACGAGTCTATGCATATAAAACGGGCTATCAAAGCGAGTGTATCAGTCAGAGGGCAAATGGGGCAACACAAAATCTACCTAATTTATTGGAAAGCACCCGCCTAGGGCCGGTTTTTAGCGAAAATCAACCCTGAATTATGCATAGTTTTGCTGTGAGATTCCTGGTTGGATGTTGCGGCCCTTTAGCCTTAGTCTGGGCCCTGATTAGGGAATGTTTTTGTCGCTCAAACTTCAATGGGACAGCGGTCCAGGTGGAGCCGAAGCCTGCATAATCCACGCCGAATTGGAAAAATTCATCTATTAAACTGAAACGCGGAATCGTAGCCCAGATTAAATTGTTCACTTTGTTATCACCAGCTATTATAAATGCGGCTTTGTCGAACATCTAGGTGCTAAAACTGAGCCAGGCTTTCATACGCGCCATGCGCCCATTGTTTCCCGACGCCCCATTGTTATCCCTTTTACCCTTTTTTGCACTTGAGATGAACACGTCTACATGAAGAGTGGCAGTGACGTACGTCGTGTCGGAAGACTGGAAAATGCGCCTATTTAAATATTTATGCCTGGCTGTTTCCAGGAAAATCGTGGCTGGAATGGCGCTTTGTGGATCGGGAACATGTTCTTTCGGCCTGCCGTGGAGAATCATTACTTAATGGTGATTAAAGTAAACAGAATCAATAAAACTGAAAAAGCTCAGTTTGCAGGGACATTGCAAGCTTCTATTAGCCGGATTGCACTCGAAGGAACGTTCGCTCTTCGCCGGACTAATGCATTTAAATGCATCCTTAATTCGAAATAAAAACAGCAACTTCTTTAAACCGCTTCGACTGTACGAAAACAATCCAATTAAGGACGTTACACTATGCCGTCTAAAGGTTAATCTTATGTTGCTTGCACCGAGAGGCAATAGTGAAGATTGGCCATTACCAGCAGGCGAGAAGCTGATGGAAGACGCTTAATATCGAGCAAAAGTCGCGTGGCCATAACCCATAATTCAATACGGCCGTATATTTAAGGTATTTATGGAAATGCCGGCGAAATTCCTGTCAGGTCCCCGGTAGGAAACTCATCCGGAGGGGCATTTTTCAGGAAAAATTCAAATCCTTAAAAGCCGCTTTCACCGGGATGCGCCTATAATTTTCCCTGTAAGATCACCCAAGCGCGAAGCTTACAGGGTGGTTGACGAAGCGTGGCGCTCGAACGCTCCAACTAACAAGAGCTTTAGCATAGACTTTCAGAACGGCACCGTCACATAAAGAAGGCCAAATTATTTAGATAAATACAAGGCTTAGTTCGAACGGGTTTCCCGCAAACGGATCAGAATAATAGAAATGAGCCATTTTGCCTTTGTTACCGGGTTGCGAAAAGTTTACGGCTTTCTTTCCACTCCATCCGATTCTATGTAAAAGAGCGCTAAAATCCCTCGGACGTGAGATGTGGAACAAGAGAGCAAAGCTTGAAGCTTGCTAATTTCGTTTTACTGAAGTGAGCTTGCCCAAAACAATTCATTCAAGGTTCCCAATCGACTTCTGTGTCTTTGATAATATTTCATTCACCCTCTAGGCTGCTAAATAAAAATTAAATACCCACGCTCAATTTGGGCAAATTTGCGATTAAATCCGTGAAAAACTAGCAGCAAAATTAATGCGTTTTAAACTGAAATCCCATTGCAATAGTCGCATTAAAATATTAATTTCTCATCGGAATTGCATGTTTTCGAGCGAAACGTGCGCACCAAACGCAACGAGGACAAATATAAAAGGAAACGCAAATATTTGAAGTACTTGCGACATGGGATTTACATTTTGTATCGGCTGGGCCTCATATCGACATTTTAAATTATTCAATTGGAGCCGTTAAAGGAATCGTGAGCTTGATTTCCGGGGCTTTTTCGATCAATTTCCATGCATCTAGCGGATATGCGATTGCCTAACGAAATTACTTGATTATCAGTGATCCAGTTGCTCGCGGAAGATTTGCATTTTTATTCCTCCTTTCATTGCCCTGCAATAAATACTTGGAACGAAGTGTTCCGATACAGCAGGATTTCTCTTTACGGGATCCCGACCGGTGGCCTAATTAAATTTCGTCGTTATCGTCGAGAAAGCCGAAATTTCGCCCTGCTAATAACAAAAATAATAAATCTTGCAGGAGTTTAAAACTCCCCGGGAACAATAAAAAAGAATCGCTTGATAAATTAAATGAACACAAAAGGAATCGAGCCGCTAGAGCACAAGGTATACTACTAAGGATTTAATTAAAAGGCAGTTTAGGCGACCCGAAACATAAATTATGAATGCGCTAATTAAACCACCAGAAGTTGCTGCTTGCTTATGTGATAATTAAGGTGCGCTTTATTTAATTTTCTACTTACATTGCTCCAACATACAGGGCGTCCCTCTTCACGTCCATATGGAACGTCCGGTAAAACATGGTGCCGCAGGCAAACTCTCTCACATGATCTGCAACGGAAAACTGCCATTAACATATATGGGGCAAATTGCCACACTAATCAATAGCCTGCTGACCCTTATGGTGAATTTAAGGGCAACAATGCGATCGCTCCAATAACCGCTTCAAGAGTGACAACTGAATTGTAAGGGCCCAGAAGAAGGACGTTCATGCTCATCAATTCCTGCTGCAGACACGCCCTCAGTTCTCACGGTCTGGACATTGTGGGATGAGGAGGATTTATAGGCAAATTTTTCCCACAAAGACTGCAATTTTCTGCGACTTGACAGAACTAAACAAGCAAAATCAACTGGCAAAGTGCAAACTTTCAGTCAATTTGCAAATTTAAAGTGTTTTAACCTGTTTCCTCCGACTCGGCATTTTGCGGAAGCTAATTTTTAATTTTCCCTTCCAATCTCGAATAGTTAATGAACTCGAATAGAAACGCTCTAATTGAGCGAGCAAAAACATCCCTAAACCGGATAGACACTGAATTAGCATAAAATATAAATAAATGGGCCACATACGCCATGGAAATCCCTGTTTAGATATGGAGGAATTACCGGGATTTGCTCGCTGGGATCCAAGAATGGCTAAATATGGACGTTAACCAATATAAAGGCCAAAACGGGGGCATAAAATGGCATTATTGTTAAATGGTACCACCTGCGCCCCTGTCAACCACGGCTCCCCCTATTTATTCGATCGCTTTACGAATCGAAGCCTTTTCCAACTTCGATTGATCAGAACTAAGGCTCGTAACAGTCGTGGAATCAGAGTCGTCAGATTTGCGCCAAACGAATTTCAGATAATAACAAAAAATTGGGATTGGGACTTTCGACCATCAACGGGAACAGCTAAAATGTTCATTCAAACTTCAGTTTAACTGGAAAGGAGGTTTGCATGCCATTGGAAACATAAAGTTTTGCTCGATTTGCTTGATTTTTCTCATTTTTTGCAACAAAACACATTTTTATTTTGTGTCGAAATTTCAATATTGATAAAGTTTCAGTCGAAACGAATATTAACAAGGTAGCTCTTTTTTATGCCATTCTAGAATTACGCCAGCATCGTTTAAAGCCAATTTGCGCTAAATTTTGGCAATTTTTTGTAACTTGAGGGGCAATTTGGGGTAACCCCACGTTTCCCCTAATGCAAAGCATCAATTTTAAAAAAATTTCCGCTCAAAATATGGGCTAACCAAAAAGCTCCTTTTCACACCATTCGATAGAGAAGGTTTTGCTCTATCGTTTTGCACAGGACCGTTCTACATCCAATGTTTCTTGATTTTTTTTGCAAATTTCTGAGCTTTTGGGTTGAAATTGCAATAATTTCCCTCTATTCACGCGTGAGTGTCCCTTTTTCAAAAATTGTCACTCGTTTTTTCCCTCTGATCACACGTGAAAGTTTATTTTTCAAAAATTGCCACTCGAAATCGGGTTTAACTACAAAGTTCCCGTTTACATCGTCTGATAGAGAAACCTTGTCTCTATTGATTTGCCAAGAGTCGTTTTGAAACCATTTTCCTCGACTTGTATAAGATTTCCAAACTTTACAGTCGATAGAGCGAACGTTTCTCTATTCCAACGCGACTTAAAAAAACTTATTTACTCAAAATCTAGGATAAACCTAAAACTTTCCTTTACGCCATTCGTTTGAGCCGACTTTGATCTATCCATCAAAGTAAATATGCGCTGAATTTTCGCAATTTTTACTCTTGAAGGTCAATTTGGGAAAACCGCACGTTTTTTCTGATCCAAAGAAACAATTTTAAAAAATGTCCGCTTAAAATTTTAACTCGCCAGAAAGCTCTTTTTTACGCCATTCGATAGGCAAGATTTTGTTCAATCGTTGTGCAAAATATCGTTTTAAACGCGATGTTTCTTGATTTTTGAAAATTTCTGAACTTTTGGGGTTGAAATTGCAATAATTTCCCTCTATTCACGCGTGAGTGTCCCTTTTTCAAAAATTGTCACTCGAAATCGAGTCTAACCACAAAGCTTCCATTAACGCCGTCTGATAGAGAAATCGTGTCTCTATTAGTCTGCTAAGAGTCGTTTTGAAACCATTTTCCTTCGATTTGTGTCAGATTTCCAAACTTTAGACTCCATATTGTGAAGGTTTCTCTATTCCAACGCTACTTAAAAAAATTATTTACTCTAAATCTAGGTTAAACCTAAAACTTTCTTTCATGCCCCTTGTTTGAGCCCACTTTGCTACATCATTATTCCAAGGATCGTTTAAAAGTAAATTTGCGCTGAATTTTCGCAACTTTTTAGACTTTTTTTAGACAAACAAAAGGAAAAGATTATCTTTTCTAACACCTAATAATAATAAAAAAATATGTACACAACTTCTGGGCTGAAAATAAAGCTCATGCTTATGCCATTCGATGGAACAGACTTTGCTCTATTATCATTGCTTAAAGTATCGCTAAAAAATCTCTTTTCCTTGAATGTTGGCAATTTTTTAAACTTGCCTGTCAATTGTCGAGAAACCGCCCGTTATCTCGAATCCAAAGCTACAATTTTCCAAAAAAACTCGCTGAAAGTCTGGAGTAACCAGACAGCTTATTTTCATATCAATCAACAGAAGGCCTTCCTCTACCGAAGTGCAAAGTATCGTTTTAAACGCGATGTTCGCTGATCTTTGAACATTTCTGAACTTTCGGGTCGAAAACAATGTTTTCTCTGTTCACACGCGACTGGCTATTTTGCAGAAATTATCACTCAAAATCGGGTCTAACTACAAACTCCGGCTTGCACAATCTCATAGAGAAATGTCGCCTCTATTAGTGTGGTAAGTATCGTTTTATTCTATTTTTCATCGATTTTTGTCAGAGTCAATATTCCTCCTCTAATGCAACGCGACACTGAAGAAATTCTGAACACAAAATCTGTACCAAAAATAAAGCCCTTTTTAGGTCATTCAAGGTCAAGTTAAAGCTGATTATTATTATGGGATATAATTTTGGACTATTTTTTAAACTTTAAATGCGACCATTTTCGAAAAATGTTCGCTTAAAATTCTGACTAACAGAAGGTTTTTACACAATTCGATTGAGTAGAAGCTGCTCTATTATTACACGAAGTATGGGATAAAAGCTTATTTTCCGTGATTTTTAGCAAATTTATCAACTTTTCTGTCCAAATAACAATGTATCCTAAAATAAACCGCGACCTAAGTATAATTAAAAAAAAAACATATCATTGAACATTGGACTACTAAGCTCTGGTTTACACCATCTCATAGCCTCTGCTATATTCGTCTAGAAACTATCGTATTCATGCCGCCTGTCCCCGATTTTTACTGATATGACAAAGATGACAACTAACTTTTTGAAAAATTCACTTCTCAAAGTTGAGGCTAACTAAAAAAATATTTTCTAATCAAATAAGTTAGTGCCAATTGACTGACAATTTTCCACAATTTTTGGGGATTTTTCAAATGCTTCAACATTTGAATTGCAATATAGCAGCCCTTCTTAAAAAACAACAAACAAATTGGGGCTAAGTTGTAAGAAGGATTTTCCGGTTATCTAATAGAGAAAATGTGGCGCTACGACTCCTGCAGATATCGATTAGCTGGCGATTTTCCCGCTTGTCCTGCCTGATATTTAAAAGTCTCTAGAGCCTTGTTTTTCCAGTACTTTGACTGTAATTTCCCTTTGCGCAATTTTAATTAATTCATCGAAAATGTTTTGCAGATAATCATTCGAATCTGCATATGCGTGCAGAAATGAAACTTCGGTTCTGCATGTCGAAAGGCATAATTCATTCGAAGATCTAATAACACCGTATAATAAACTGGCTAAATTATGTATTTATGACATGAACATGTTAATGGAAACTTATTATGTTGCTGTGGGTTCTGGCGCTCTTTTACTACCCCCAGCTTGCATGCAGAGTATTAATTATATACAGGGCGGTTCAGGCAACCATTTAGAGCAACTAGAGGGGGAAGATTGGGGAAAGCCCCAATTTCCTCTTGTATTTGAAATTGTTCGTATTCAAAGCTCCTTAAGACACAACTTGGCTTGATCCAGCCTGGAAATGTATGTAAATCATTTACTTTAAAACAGTTTCGTGCTTAGGCCGGATCCAGAGATCGAACGTGAATGGAAAAATTATGCCGATTCGAGGGGGATTCGGATAAGTCCCCCGTTATTGGATCACTTATCGGATTTCTGGATAAATTAAATTCAAAATTATTTTTGCTTCTCGGCGACTCTTAAATCGGATCCGGCCCGGAATTTCTCTTTTTCTCCTGGAATGTCTGCGTCTATATTTAATCGAACCGTTCGAATATATGTATGGAAGGTATAATTATTGTTAATGTACAGTGGGGTTTCGCATATGTAAAGGTTCTGAAATAAAAAGCTATTTCTTCTGGTGAGTAACGCAAGGACACGGTATGTTGCATGTCCGGATCTCCCCCAACATCGAGGTTTAAACAGTAATTTACTATACAGTTGCCAAACTTTTTCCAGCCAAGTTTTATGGCATCATATAACCCATTCTTTTATAACGCTATCAATGTCTCACGAACCGGCTGGTTCGACTTTTGCTTGATTTTTCTGTACAATTTACAGCGGGGTTTTGATATGAGAAGTGAATCCCAAAAGAACCCCAAAAGAAAAAGAAAGGAAGGCAATTTTGCCCCAGTTTAACGAGTTGGTTTCCTGATATTTCCAGGCTTCTAGTTCTTCAGACGAAACCCCAGCAAATGAAGAAAAAACCGTTTGCTCCACCCATAGGAGTCGGAAACAGTTTAATCTTAATTCTGCGGCCTTTAACACGAGCGATTTTCATATCGGACCAGTTTCGGAATGTTTTCCCATACCGAAAATGCCATTTTCCATGACAAATGGGCCGGGCTGCTTTGCGTTTTCGCCCTAATTAATGCCAGTCAATCAGTGTAACGCGATAAACTATTCGCTATTCCCAAAAATACCCATTCGCCATGGCCACTTAGCGCTTGGACATTTATGCATATCGAAAACACGGTCTGT